ATTATATATTAGTTATTACTATACTTTTTTTAAATTTTATATAATTTTTTGCTTTTAAGTTACGTCATTATTAATATTAACAAATTTGATTATACGTCTCCATTCTACAATTTTTTTAAGTTTATATGCATGACAAAAATTTGCAGTTAATGCATTTTCCCAAATCGAGCTGTGACCTTGTCTAATACGAATTCATTATTGTTTATTTTTTTCAGGCTGGGAACTGCGCGGCTTAAATTGTTATAAATATTTCAATATCAAGCATTCGTGGGAGAAAAGCGCCGAACTGTGTCGAAGGTGAGTAAAATCATAGCATAACCATAATCAGATGTTAATTTGAATATATCAGAGTACAACTAAATATATGTATACATGGTTATATAGAGGAAGTTGTGGGCATCGGACTTCTGTTTCAGCCAAGCAGTGAACTGGCTCAAAGTAGCTACGCTTCAATAAGCACAGCTACCTGTTCTTCGTGATAGATAGATACCAAGAGAGATAGATGCTAGTTGTCTGACCGGCTGTAAAGATCTGTGCTTGACTAAAAATATACACTATAGTCTATAGTATATACACACATATACTGAAGCGGCGGCAACAGTTGCCGTTACAGCACCGCATTGCATTTCCGCTGACAGTTAACTGTCAATGCCAAAGTGGGCTGCCTCTTAGGCCAAAATGCAGCCGGCAGCAGTGTTGACCAAGTTCGTAATTGTTTTTCAGGCCTGGCTGGGCAGGCCATCGATAAGCCATCGATGATTCATAATAATTTGTTTCTTTTTTTCTTCTTCTGCTTTTGCTTCGTCTTCYTCTTCTTCTTTGGCCACTTTATTCGAGCGAAAAGAAAGTCGTCGACGTAGTCAATAAGCTTCCGGCGTTCGGCCCAAAAAAAAAAAACAAGCATTCCTGATTCGGTTTTTGGGTGTTAACCCACTGTTGACCCAAATACTTGCGAGTGGTTCGGCCAGTGCCTGCACCTGTCCGAGAGAGTTGAGAGCTCGCGTAGCCTAAAAACCTCTGATCTTGTGGGCTTGTCTCGGAAATTGAGAGTGTTTCGATTTGATCGAAGTCGTAGTTTTTTATCGATTGTAATTTCAGCTTGGCTTTAATGAGCGTGTGAATTGCTGGCTTTTGGATTGACCGCGGGGCATGTGGGGTGAAAGTTATTCGGAATGAAGGTGTTTTTTTTTTTCTCTGTCGTTTTTCTTTTACATTTATTTTTCGGTGCTTAACATTAATAAAGTTATTGGCTGGCCATAGACTTGGTCTAGTGTCAATGGCCTACGCAATTTCTCTTTGCTGTCTGTCAGGTGTTAAATGGCAATTACATATGCCCGGCACAGGCTACACCAGGCCAGTTGACACTGGCAACAACAGCAGCAGCAGCAGCAGCAGCTACAGTGGCCCCTTCTATAATGTACGCGTCATTTACATGCCATAGACCTCGCCCCAGTCCACTGCCAATTAAAATGCTGCTAACGTTTTATTAGTTTTGCCACAGCGCAAGTTCAACAAACGACAAACAACTGTTGACTGCTCGATAGATTTGCCAAAAAAGTACACAATACATATATACACATACGTATAGGTGTGTATGTATATAAATCTGACTTAACGATAGCAGTCTATGTCAGGTGTCGCCCTTACACTCCAAATGTGAAATATTTCTTTTGGGTGAAATTTTCATTTTGTTTTCTTACTCCCTATCTGTCTCGCTCACTCTGTTGCTTAACGATTTTGCGTGTGCAGCATGCGAAATACGTAGAATGAAGGAAAGTGCCGATAAGGCGTTAACATTTCCAGTTAACGGAGCTGTGACCAAAAAATAAAAGCCACTCGTGAATTTGGAACTTGTTGACTTTTAGTATTTGGGCGTAGTCGACGAATCGCAATGAAAACTCTTTTTGAATGATGTTTTGGCAGCAGCCCGTTCGGGCAAATCAATTTGCTTCAACTTTTGGTCATAGGCGCGGAAACAGGTAGCTGAGCCAATTTTATTGAACCGTAGAATTTTTAACGGAGCTATAAATAGTCAACAATCATTCATAGATATAATAACAGTTAAAGAAATAACTAAGAAGAATATCGAATATTTTCTTAGAAAAAATGAAATATATTAAAACGATGATATCTGATTTTTTATTGAAGCATTGCAAGGAGTTTTCAACATACAATTGATTCGTTTCACATATCTGTAAAATATATTCATGAAATATATGAAATATATTAAAAACATAAATAATAAAATAAATAAATA